GAAGCAGGACACTCTTCCTAAGGCCTAGGAGATGAGAGGGCATCAGGACTTGGGAGCAGGCCTGAGCTCATAGTTTTTAGGAAGCCAGGTGTAGATCTTAGCCCTGTCAGACTAAAAGGCCTGCTGGGTCATTTGCCCTGTAGTCTAAGTGGCTACTGTGCAGTCAACAGCTGTCCCCACTAAGTGGCATCTCTGGGGCACATGGAGATGGAGATAGCAGAGCACACTGGGTCAGGCTAGCCAGGGATGCAGAGTGAGACCCTGTCTCAACAAACAAACAAAACAAACCCCCTCCCATAATTTTTTTTAACTTATCCTCGGTCTCTGAAGCAGGTATCACTTACAGGTCCATATTGCTGATGGGGAATCTGGGATGCAGAGATGAGCAGAAGTGTGACAGTCCTGTGCCACGGGGGCCTTTCCATGAACTCAGGACTAACTAGAGTGTGGGGATGAGGCAGGTGCTCAGGATAAAAGTGGGATGGACCATGGATGAGCTCTGCCCCAGCAAGGCACTGGTGGGTAGGCTGCAATGCCCAGTGAGATCTGGGGTGGTGTGGGGCGGGGATTGGGAGGAGGAAGTGCTGACCTTGCCAGGTTCCACAGCCAGAGAATTCAAAGCCCTGGGCACCAAGCCTCGCTCTTCAGAATGGGGCATTTATGAAAAGGAAGGGAGGCGGCAGGGTGATGATTCATGGAATTTGTAACCGGAGTTGAACGAGAGCCCCCGTAATGATGGTGATTAAAAGTTAATGCCACTGTGCTGCGACTTTGGTGTCCACTTTGCACCCATGAATTAATTAACAAAGGACAACACATGTGCTCCGGGCAAGCTACAGGGCTACAGGGCACAGAAGCTGGATCTACAGAGGGGGCATCCCTGGAGGGGAACCTGTCCCCATCCCCAGAGCTTCACTACAGGGGCTTGCTTCCTGTCTTTGTACTCAGTGAGCCATGATGTAGTCTAAACTAGGGGACAAGAAAAGGTTCCTCCTGGTCACAGGGGACATTTGTCATCAATAACAGAGAATACAACTGGAGGTTGCCAGCCTGAGGCCCTGGTGGGGGCCTCATGACCTGGATCTCAGATAGCCCAGGCTGGCCTGGGATTCAAAATCTCTGTATAGAGAAAAATTATTTTGAACTTCTGATCTTCCTACTTTTACCCTTCCAAGGCTAAGATTACAGGTGTGGGCTGGGCGGTGGCGGCGCACAACTTTAATCCCAGCACTTGGGAGGCAGAGGCAGGTGGATTTCTGAGTTCTAGGCCAGCCTGGTCTACAGAGTGAGTTCCAGGACAGCCAGGGCTACACAGAGAAACCCTGTCTTGAAAAAAAAAAAAAAGATTATAGGTGTGGGCTACCACACCCAGTTCACGTGATATTGGGGATTAAACCCAGCACCCAATCCTGTAGTTTTGTGGTTTTTGCTTTTTAAGATGTATTTATTTTATGTATATGAGTACACTGTAGCTGTCTTCAGACACACCAGAAGAGGGCATCAGATCCCATTACAGATGGTTGTGAGCCACCATGTGGTTGCTGGGAATTGAACTCAGGACCTCTGGAAGAGCAGTCAGTGTTGTTAACCACTGAGCCATCTCTCCAGCCCCTAGTCCTGTTTGTTTTCTTAAGACAAGGTCTCGTGCTGTGGCCAAAGATAGCCTGGAACTCACTATGTAACCTAGATCTTAGCTGCTTTTCTATTGCCATGCACAGACACCATGACCAAGGCGACTTATAAAAGAGAGCATTTAATTTGGGGGTTCACAGTTCCAGAGGGTTAGGATTCACGACCGTCATGGCTGGGAGCATGGTAGTAGATAGACAGTTATGGTGGTGACATAGTAGCTGACAGCTTATATCTGGTGTGTGTGTGTGTGTGTGTGTGTGTGTGTGTGAGAGAGAGAGAGAGAGAGAGAGAGAGAGAGAGAGAGAGAGAGAGAG